TTGGTTCACAACCACGCCTGAAATCTCGATTATCACTTTATCATGCGAGAGTATAAAATGTTCGGTGACACCCGAACTTAGCCCTTCCTTACTTGTTTTCTCATAGCATTGTCAGACTGCAGTGTATTGTTGTTTTAACTGCATTAATCCGGATTAATTTAGGAGTTAGTGAAAATAAGTCCCATTTAGTCCTCACAATTTTAGAGAGTATGGTGCATTTTCGTTGGCAATATTGTTAAAAGTAGCCAATTTTAATCTGTTGTGAATGAAAAATAAGCAACACTGACAGTTGTTTTTAAAATTTTCAATAATAAAACGTAATTTTAACCGGTTATGGGGCCAGGTGCAAATTCCTGTGTTCCGACTATATAATTGTTTAAAATGAGTTCGTCAATATTTAACATTGAAAAATTAACTGAGTCAAATTACAACTCGTGGAGCATTCAGCTTAGAAGTGTGCTTGTTCATCAGAAGCTGCGGTCCGTGACGACAAAGAACTGCTAGCATAGAAGATAAAAGATGAAAAAGGTACGCCAACAATAATTTTAAGTATAGCACCTATTCAGATAAACTACATAAGAAATTTTAAGGCGGCAAGCGCATCATGGAATACCCTACGTGATGTTTACAGGTCAAAGGGGCTAGTAAGAAAGGTGACACTCCTCAAACGCTTACTAGGGATGTGTATGACCGACGATGAGTGTGTTCAGAAATAGTTTTGCGATTGAACGTCAGTTGCAGAAAGGCTTGACGAGATTTGAGTTACTTTACAAGTTTAGTTTTATGTTATAATGTTACATTAGAATCTTGAGATGAGCTACAAAAATTAAGCTATCAAGATAAAGTTGATCGCAGAGTGTGAATGACGAAAGTGTACCAGTTCGAAACACACCGAAGGTAGCAAGCATTTATGGTGCGCGAAAGTACATGCGAAAAAAGAATAGTAAAACGGCACATTCAAAATTCAGCCAGCCGCGATCAAAAAATCAAGAAAAAAAAATTTCAAATGCTACAGCTGCGGTAAAAAGGAGGAGGAGGATTTTTCTGCAAAGAAAGCCAAAAGGCAAATAAAGAACAGAAGTTCAGCAACAACAAAAGTAATGGCTTGTTCGCGGCGATCGTTATAAATTCGCTGCGTACTGATGCTTGATGTATAGACAACGGAGCATCCTCTCATTTGTGCTGTAACCGTAAAAAAGTTCTTCGAATTCGAAAGGTATGAAGAGGAGATCATACTTGCTGGCAACAGCAAAGTTAGCGGCTGGCAGAGGTGTTGTGTGTTTGCAAACAAACATGTTCGACGTCACACTTGTTGATGTTTAATACGTACCAGGTCTACAGTGTAATTTTATTTCGGTATCTAAAACTGTAAACAGTGGATACATAATGGAATTTACCATGATTTTGAGTGTTTAACAGGTATGCGATGTTTTTATGTTTGAGCTCAATAAAAAAAAACTTTTTACATGTTATAACAATGGGGGAATAAAATGGCATTCGGGATACAATCATTTAAATTTTGCTAGTCTGCGACTAACAGCAAACATAAATTGTAGGGTAAGAATGTCCAATAAGTGCAGCCAACGGGCATATTGTTAGTCTAAT